TACTTTTTATTTGTTGATTGTTCTTAAATTGGGGACTAGGTTTATTTGATTGTTTTTCTATCAGTGTTGTTAATGCTAGAGGTTTGATTGTTTTGTTTTTTGTTAATGTTTTCCTGCTCTACTTGATCAGCTTCATTGATGTGATGGTGTGGTTTTGATAATTTGGGGGAGACGTGTTTAGAGTTAGAATGGAAGACCCCAAAACCCCAGAAACCCTAGAAGCTCAAAGCCCTGTGAATGAGATTAGCGAGGATATTTCTGGTTTTTCTGGTTTGGTTGACTTGAGCGGTGGGTTAACTGTGGAGATTCCGGTTGTTGAGAATGTCAATGGCGTAGCGGTTAGTAATGTCGAATTGAGGATTGAGGAGGATGAAATGGGAATTGGCGGTTTAGAGGGAGAAATTTTGGATGCTGGTGGAGATGAAGACGGTGGTGATGGTGTTGGGGCTGAGAATGATCAGAACAATGGCAACGCGGTGGAATTAGACGGTCTTCCTACAGGGAAGAACGTTGAAGTTTCTGGCGATGGTATATCGCTTACAGTGGACGTCTCGAATGTTCAGCCAGAAGAACCAGAGCTTCCCAAGTCAATAGGAACGGAAGAAATTTCAAAAGAAGCTGGAGATGAAAAGCAGGCTATTGAAAATGGTGAAGAGAACAAATTTTCGGTTGGTGATGTTATATGGGTCAAGACCAAAAGTCAGACATGGTGGCCTGGAAAGATACATCCCTCAGATGCAGTAGAAAGTGACGCAAGTAGCCAGAGTGATAGTCTTTTAGTTGGCTATTTTGGGAGCAGCCATGTGACATGGTGCTCTACATCTCAGTTGATGCCCTTTGCTGAGAACTTTGAGCAGATGTCCGGGAAGTACAAGTCTCGAAGTTTCCTTGGGGCTGTAGAGAAAGCTGTGGATGAGTTTGGTAGGTGTGTGAGATTGGAGATGACATGTCCGTGTATTCCTGAAGGAAACTGCCCATTAGAAGGTGATGATGGATCAAAGGATGCAACTTCTCTGCCTCGGCGCAAGTCTGGTTTCCTTGCTAAATATTCTGTTGATCAGTATAAACCCGAAACATTCCTAGCACGTGTTAAGAGTCTTGCGCAGATTGTTTCCCTATGTGGAACACTAGAGTTGAGTATCCTGTATAATCAATTGGCAGCTTTTCAAAGCTCAATAGGGCACCTGCAGTTACCTTTGCATCTGCTCTGGGAAACTCATGATGCTGACGACAATGTGGCGAGCAGATCAGTGAGAAAAAGCAAAACTCGTGTTACAGTGAAAAATGATGAAGAACAGGTAGAAGATGGCACACAAAGCTCACCGTTAGAGACACTGCCCATAGGATCAGACATTCTACGTGAAAAGATGGAGGGAAAGATTGACGATCCAAATAAGGTGCTCGACGGAAGCATGGAAGGAGGGAAAAGGAGCTCCAGAAGAAAGACAATTGCTGATGGAGGAATTGAATCGAGATCGTTAAAAAGAAAAAGAAGTGACAAATTTGAAGATCTTGAATCCAGCAAAATGGATTCTTCTATCAAGGGAGAGGTGATCAATCCCTTAGCTTATGAAGGCAAGGATTCTGATGTAGGAGACTTTGATGATGGGAGCAAAGGGATGTCCGAAAAGAGATCGGAGACGAGAGAGAGGAAGAAGAGCAAGTATTTATCTTTTCCATACATAAACTGGGGGCCGAAAAGTATGCCAGCTGACACAGAAGGTATTAAGGCGCTTAAAATTTCTAGCGAAGGTGAGGATGAAAGTGAAGCTGAGGGCAAGAATGAAAGCCCTTTACTATCTAAATGCAGTGGCAAGTTCTGGAAGAAGTGGTACTGGAATATCACCAGTGGCAGTGATGTTGCTGGTAATCAAGAGTTGATGAGTGTATCACCAGCTGAATTTCTTTCTGAGCTTCATTTTACTGCTGTGAATTGTCTTTATCCAAATGAAAGTAATAACTTTGATGCGGTCGCTCAGTTCTTCTCGAGATTTAGAATTCTCACGTTTCATGATGAATCTGTCGACACTGGTCAAAATGAGGCAAAGACTGCTGAGGTTAAGCATCCTTCTTCTACTGCTAAATCAGGGATCAAGAAAAGAAAAAGTCAGGCAAGTTCTATCTCGGAAATGGAAGAGATTAAGCATCCTTCTTCTACTGCTGAAGCATATCCTGCAGGAGAGGCACAAAAAAAGACCCCTCTGTCGAAAAATGATGGAGAAAGCTTGGGGAGATTGAAGACTAAATCCCTTTCTGCCTTGTCCGATGTGAACATAAACATTTCTTCGAGTAGCCCGCTTACAAAAGACTCGCCTGAGATTGGACCTGAACCACTCTCACCCAATGGTTTACCAAAGCGAAGGAAGAGAAAGAACGATGGATCGCTTCTCCAGAGTAAACCAACAACAGAGATACCTGATTTAAATGGAAGTGGTTCGGCACCTGCCTTGTTGGTGGAAGATCAGCGGGCCGCGAGCCAGGTTGCTTCCCAACAAAAGTCTGAGCCAAAGAAGAGAAGGAAACTTGGTGCTGTTAAGGAGCACTCAAAGGTGTCTTCTGAATCCATAGATGCGAATAACAGCAATGAACCTGGTTCCTTTTTCATTGATCTACAGGTCACAGTTCCACAACCACTTGGTGTGATTTCAGAGAAAAATAAAGTGGATTTTGAAGGAGCGCCTAACCAGTCTGTGGAGGAGCAGACAATTGCCCAGGATCAGAGCAAGTCGGGGGTCAAAAGGCGAAAGAAGAAGGAGAACCCGCCATTGACAGATCCAAAGGTAATCTTGCCTTCTGATATACCAGATTTAAATGGAATGGGTATTGAATCTAGTCAGGGGAAAGACTCCCAGTTGACTAAACCAAAGAGGAGGAGGAGAAAAGGTGAAGCTAGTTTGAACCATCCGAATCCTTCTGACAAACCATATATTTATAATAAAGTTGAAACTGATGGTGATGGTTTAGGATCTCTTCTTCTCTTGACTTTCTCTTCAGAAGCTCCCTTACCTCCCCGGCAGCAAGTTATCACAACGTTTAGCCAGTTCGGATCTTTGAAGGAATCCGAGATACAGTTGAAAGATTCAACTGTTGAGATAGTTTTCCTTCGAAGTGCGGATGCGATGGAAGCAGTTCGGAGTTTAAAGAAGAACAACATTTTTGGCCCAACTCTTTTAAAATACCAGCTCTATCACCTCTCAACTCCCCCGAAGACATCGGACGTGGACAGGGCTTGCACAGCACTGGCCTATCCAGCATCTGAGGGCACTCTCAACTCATCAAAGTCTGCTGAATTAGGGTCTCAATCAGCAGGTGAGGCACAGCCTGTCGAGTTTATTAGGAAGAATCTTCAGATGATGACATCAATGCTGGAGAAGTCTGGAGACAATCTCTCCCCAGACACGAGAGCCAAATTGGAGAGCGATATTGAAGTCCTCCTCAAGAAGGTGAGTTCCATGGCGGGTTCTTCCTCAACGTAAAGGAACCGTTGTGGATTTTCTTTCATCAGGTTCTATCAAACCCCTCGTTAGTCTTGTTGGTGTATTGTAGGTGTAGTTTATGTATCCAAGGACACAAATATTGCCTGGGCAATTCGTGGAGCTTCTCTGTTTATTAATAGTACTTCTAGTTTTCCCTTTTTTCCTTTCGTTACAACATCGTATAAGCAATGTGAAGCCTTTGCATTTCATGAGATGTCTCATACTTTTGACAATCTTTTTCCTTGTGTAGGCAAGGAATTTAGCCATGGTTTTTACTTCTAACTGTGTGCTTATCCCACATCTTAGTATACCAAGCGCATAAGCTTAATATGTTTTAGGATCAGATTTCACAGGATTGTTGGGAGGGAGTTCCACGTTGGCTAATTTAGGGAATGATTATGAGTTTATAGGTAAGAAATACATCTCCATTGGTAACGAGGCCTTTTAGGGAAGCCCAAAGCAAAACCATGAGGGCTTATGCTCAAAGTGGAAAATATCATATCATTGTAGAGGTCCGTGATTCCTAAAAACAACTAAAAACCATTGTTTTGAGTGCAGTTTGAGTCTTACATGCTTTTTCTCAGTAGAAATGAGCGTTCTTTCTTGTTTAGCCAAGGCAACGTCTTAGCATCATCCCCAGAATGACTCCGCTTGCCATTTCAGTGACCAACTACATCCAATTCAAAGCCCCACTCCTACCCCAGCTTCGTTGTGGATCAACGTTGCCTCATAAGTGTAGCAGATGGTCTTTGCAATGAGCAAATAATATAGGGCCCGTTTAAACCCCAACAGAGAAGAGTACAGGAATCCACTGGCCCAACACCACCCTGAAATTTCACGTGAGCATTTTCACAAACAGGTTGCAGGCGAGGCTCCGGAATCGTAATAATAATGCGATCATGGCGTAGAATTCGGCTGAAAAAAATGAAAGCAAAGAGGAGGAATCTACAATACCATGTTTTTTGTACACTTACACTGTTGAAGGCCTTCTGATTGATTGTCACTACACACATATGTACACTATTTAGTCTACACGTAGAACTTTTTTGGATAAAAATAAATTGTGAATTACACCCATTGCCCTATTTGTTTGTCATGTCATTTTCAGGTCGAAGATGCTTTTTCTATCTCCATCCTCGATCAAATGGAAATATTAACTTCCTTCGTACACCATTTATCGACGATCGGTGTCGGTGAGTTTAATCTTTCCTCTCAAGCTTCTTTAACTTTGAATTTTGATTCTATACAGGTTTTTATCTTTAATCTTAATAGGTTTATTGGACGAACATCGGTTAGCTTGACATGAAAGAAACAGGTGACAACAACTGAACTTGTCAAGTTTATCGAACGACGTGAACTCAAACCTGGTATAACTCAACCAATACATATTATATCCTTTTCTTTTACGGCTAAAAGACATGCATGAGAGGAATATTTGATGCATGTGATCTACCATCTTGATTATCATACTCATAATTACTCAAATATACTTAGTACTTAATAATCAGTCAATAATCCCTTTACTTGAAGGAAAAACAAGTCTAATTATATGATAATTACGTTCCAAATCATACTTGTTCTTTGTTCTTTTATACTACAAAAGCACTCCCTAGATAATCTTCCTCGATAACACAAGAAAAATCCTAACAGAGAGCCTTGGATTAGCCGACACAATCCCAAAGCCACACTCCAAATTAAACAAAAATCAAGACATATTCTTAAGAAACTGATAGAAAGAGAGGAAATCAAGGCAAATAGTTCTTGATTTCATTCGAGCCATGCCCTTTTGATTCCCCTGATCGGATTTTAGACCAATGGGTTCGTTGTTGATGATCCGTATCCATTCATCATCCCATTCCAAGACGACCCAATTCCATTTATAAATCCATAGGACTCAACTTTCTCAGAACATCCCTCCTGATCTTGCCATTCCAAAGCCAAAAGCTTTGTATTCGGCTTCACTTCCATTGCATTTGGATCCTCATTTTGTTCATGTTCATAAGGAATCATCACTCCTTGTCCCATGCCTGCCGCGTTCCCATCAAGTGAGAGTCCATAAGGGGTGCAAAGGCCATGGAAACTCGGCGACAGAGCATGGCCAGCAGCGGCAATGTGATCTCCAGCAAACCCACCCACCATGGCCAAATGGTCGGAGTTTGTGGGGTTGTAATGAGCATTGCCAACAAGGGCTTCCATTTTGGAGTCCATGAAGTCGATTGGTCGAGCGGTGTGATGGTGAGCTTCAAGCATTCCTATGCTTGAGATGAAATTTGGTGTTCCAATAAGGGGATTGAACTGAGAGGGGAAGTGTACTTGATTTGAAAACGAGAGATGAAGATCGGTGGGATTATGATTATGAAGGGAAGAAGAAGAAGAAGACGCTATATGATGATGATGGATCTGGGAAATAGGTTGTCGTGGTTGTTGTTGTTGTTGATGATGAATCGGGTCATTATTGGATTTCTTAGTAGTAGTAACTTTCTTGTTCTTCCTGCAACCACCGCCAACCGGGATGTTGCGGAGAGTGCCGCCTTTGGTCCAGTACCGACGACAAGTCTTGCAAAAGTAGCGAGGCTGAGAGAGGCTGTAGTTGTTGTAGTAACAAAATTTGGTATGAGTTGAGTCACATCTTGGGCATTTCAGTGCTTGGTCATGTTGAGGCCTCAGCCTCCTCTCTGTCAGTGGCCTTGAACATGACAGCATGTCCCCTGATAATGACGAACAATCCATGCCAGACTCCTCGTTACCACTTCCCTAAACCAAAAACACACAACAAAAATGTCAGTCCTTTGTCCATCTCTCACAATGCCAGACTCCGCTCGGCTCGGCTCGATTCGGTTCGAGTCGGGTACTAACTAGGCTTACTCAAAAGAGAAGAAAGGGTGAGTTTTGATGACATATACCTGTTGTAGCCAATCAGAGGAGTCCATGCAGACTTGAAGAGAAGTAAGACCCATGAATGAACTGAGAAAAACAGAGGAACCCACAAAAACTTCACTTAAAACTCACTCCATTTCATTATCCACTGACAAAATGGGCACCAAAAACAGCTCCATTAATCCCAAAGAGATCAGTTTCAGAAGAAGAAGAGAATGGGATGTGAAGAAGAAGGAAGAAAAAGAGGTATATTTGAAGAGATGGAAGGGGAAAAGGGTAGCAGCCACTGTGTTAGTTAGCTTAGCAGAGAGATGTTAAGGATGACAAAAACATCGTCGGTGGTAAGAACATTTCAGTGGGTCCCTACACTGTCTGTAGGGTACCCCACAAGGAACACTAAAGCAACCAAAAGACAACTCCAACGTGGCAAAATGGAGGGCTGTGATTGGCTGAGCTTAAGGGAAGAAGAAGCTGATGTGGAAGTAGTAGAATGGTGAGAATTTTTGGGTCCTCGTTAAAGAAAGCATCCCCAAAGAGCACTCCACTTAGGGGCCCAAAAAATGGAGCGTGGGACCCTTCTCTCCTCCCCCTCCTACAAGCAAGGCATAGATTCTTCCTCTCCTAATCTTATGACACTAATTCCTTCATCCAAATCTTCTTCTTTTTGTTGTTTGGGGGGGGCATTGCCAGTTTTGTTTCATGTGACTCTGTTTTTTTCTTCCTTTTTATGGCACAAGTTTTCAAAAAAACCCTTCTAAATCAACTTTAGAACCAATAAAAGAGATTGACATATGATATCATATTGTAATGAATTGAATGAGTACTCCTCGTTGCATTGAAAACCCGCCATTGTTTTAAAGTTTGATTAAGTTTGACTTAGCGGGAATTATAGACATGTAAAGTGTGATTTAGGGAGTCTTTTGATGAACCTAAAGGCAATGTTTTCGAGGCGCTTGTATTCACGAGGTGTCCGATGGTTTTGCACTATTGGATTCTCGAATTCATATCCAATAGTTATATTAGGGTTATGCAAAATTTTGAATCTGCATTCAACCGTTGTTTTGAGGTTGGTGACACGTAGATTGTAGCAGCCTCGTTGGATAATTTTTCTCTAAATATGTGTGACTGCCTCGTTGAATAATTTTTTAGGAGTTTGTAGTCTCAAGGTGTTTGTCAGGTTGTTTTGCACTATTAGATCTGAAAAGTACTCAAAGTGGCTGGTAGGTTTGTATTGTTGGATATGGTCGTCATATCTAGTGATTATTTAGAAGCATGCAAATTTTCGAATCTAAAGGACGAGCGATAGCTGCATTGTGACCATCTTACCAAATATTTTTTTCGGGATTGAAATAAAATATAAGATAAATATCGGAGAAAACATTAGCGGGAGAATGAGGAGAGCATGTGAGAAACAAAGCTTGAGGAACACACTTAAAAGGGACCAAAGAGAAGTTAATGTCAAACCTAAAAACAAAAGTGGAGTCTCCAACCCCACGTTGATTCCCTATCCCATATTCATTAATTTTGTTCTCTTTATAAATTTATTTATTTATTATTATTATTTTACTTTAATTCATAAAATTAAACTCCTAGTCACTGTCATAATTACTCTATCTAGACTCGTAACATGGTTGTACAACACTTATTCTCACCTTCGAGTAAGTCAACAAACTAGAATTTAGGTCGTTATTGGCACGTGGGACATATGCTCAAGCCTCTAACCCTGTTCCTTAAAAAATACTATAGAAAATGGGGACACAGAAAGTTTTAGAAAACGCATGGAAATCGGTTTTGAGATATCAATATTATAGGCTAACTAGTAAATAAGCGACGACTACATGCTTTTGGTATAGAAAAATCAACCAAGACGATGATTATATCCAACCCCTAAACATTTTGAAACCTTCCTCTATTTGTTATGTGCCACTCAAGATAAAAGACGTGGATTTCTCTGATGGGTTCCATTCACTAAGCCACTACCTATGAGCGGTCGGGTTTTACCCAGTGGAAGAAATGGGATATTAGAGAATGGGTGCACGGCTAGACTCAATATGCATACATAAAATCCAACTTTTTGTCTCGTTCTATTCAAAAGCTACATATAATTGCTAATGCATACATAGTTCAGTGGTTAAAGATACATCGGTTCTTACCATTACAAAATTTAATTCGATCGATAAGAAATCAATTTATTTTTTTTAAAAAAAATATATATATTTCTATAAAATGTTTGGATAATTATATCCCATACATGAATGGGTTGTTGGTAGTGGCACATCATGATTTCAAAATCACTTGGATCCAACATTTTTTTTTTTTTTTTTGTCAATGAAAATTAAATAAAAAAAATATTAAAATTATTCAAAATCTTGAGTTTCAAGCAACCTCCAAGATGCTGGCATCTTTCATATCTCCCTTTACTTTGCATTTTTAACCCTCCCCTTTTCTTTCTTTTCAATTTCGCCCCCCTTTTTCTCCTAAATTCTAAAAACACCCCTCGTTTTTTTATTATTAAAAAAAAAAAAGATTCGTAAAGGCCAATAAATAATCCACGAATTCAAAAGTTTAATTTTTCTATTAAAAAAATGGATTTGCAAAATGCTGTATTTTCTGGTCCTTTTTTTAAAAAATAAAATAAAATAAAATAAAATCCACTCCCTCGCCGGCAGCGGCGGTGCTTGCGGCGGCGCTACCCTTAAAGGCTTCACTTTTGGTCGACAATGATATTCTTAATTAAATGATTAAATTTTATCATCTAAAAAACATTATATTAAAATTGTGTAAATGAGAATTTATATAATTTGAAGAATAAAGGGATTAAAGGATGTAGATGAACGGTGTAGATTTGATCATCACAATGAGATTTAAAAGTGTGGTCCTGATTTTTTATGGTGGTCAAACTTTGCAGCCTCGTTTTGGCTGCAGTCAACGTCACTTTATTTTTCTCCCTCAAATACTATTACATATTATTACATATTAAATTTTCACGAAATGCTTTTTGTCGCTAATATTTTTATTCTCGTTTTAATAATTTTTTGTGAGATCCTACATCGGTTAGGTATCCCGAATCTTCATTACTAATGGAATCGAAATAATCTCTGGATGGATCGATATAAACAAAACATTTCTTGTAAGGATGTGAAAATGTCTCCCTAGCAGACGTCTAGCCAACGTGAAAAATATTTGCTGATGAGTTTGAACTGTTATATTTTTATTCTCGAGCATGAAAACGTCCTCCCTTTTGCTTATATTTCTAGTTAAGCCTAAAATTCATTTCTTTCACTTTCAATTAGAAACCGTTCTTGATTTTTTTTCCCCACTTTTGACCCATACATAATCAACTTTACATACTAGACGAATCATATTCGTTACAAATCAACGACTCATTTATGAGGCAATAGATTTGACGAAATCCATTAAAGGTCCCCAAACAACACAGCAACAAGAATTCAAAATACGTCGTTGTACAGAAGATTCATTTTCTCTTACGAGCTTCCCCTCAAGGGTTGCGGTGTTTCGTTCTCCTCCTCAACTAATGTGAGATATCACAATCCACCCCCCTTCAGGGTCCAGCGTCCTCGTTGGCACTCGTTCCTTTCTCCAAAGAATGTGGGACCCCCACCAAATCCACCCCCTTTCAGGGCCAGTGTCCTTATTGCCAGATCGCCTCGTGTCTACACCCTTCGGGGAACAGCCTTCTCACTGGCACATCGCCCGGTGTCTGGCTCTAATACTATTTGTAACACCCCAGGCCCACCGCTAGCAGATATTGTCTTATTTAGGCTTTCCCTTACGAGCTTTCCTCAAGGCTTTAAAACGCGCCTGTTAGGGAAAGATTTTCACACCTTATAAAGGGTGTTTCGTTCTCCTCTCCAACCAATGAAGGATATCACAACAGATATCCATTACCGTATTAAACCAACCACCAGACAAGAAAAACAACAAGAACCCTCATGATTGTAATTCAAACGATATGTCGACCAAGATGAAAACATGTCGGAGATGGTTTTGAAAATCAAACACGAGATTGTTAGGTGATAAAGAGCGTAGTGCATGAAGTCAAAAAAATGGTATAGAACATAGAACAATGAGAGGCAAAGTGGGGCCATGTAGAAGGCATACGCGACACAAGCGAGCTAAGACAGCGGCGCAGAAGGAAGTATAGTCTTACAAAAATCTTGGCCTTCTGCTATTATTCTTACGTCTAACAAATGATTCGAAATAAAATGTCTTGATCATGCCACAAGGACTTCGAGACGGATTACGGGATTGTACCTTACAAGTTGTTTCAAGGTAAATTCAAAAGTTGAGTATGAGACGGTAGAAACAGAAGTACCGTTATCTAAGAATGTTGGACAACTCCACGTGGGGCACTAAAGTACTTCTCTACTCTCCAGAAGAGAGTGGAAGAGACAGAAGAGTCAATAGAAAGCGGTCTTATGTATGTCGAGGCTCGGGTTAACAAAATAGGATTGCATTAAATGAACTCAATTGGAGCGTGTTTGATTACAAATAAGTCAAGCTTTGTTTATAGAACTAGTACTTCAAGCCGCTTAAAACTACTTCAACCGGAGATTCAATTACTCTCGAATAGGTTATAAATTTAGTTAGTGTCCATTATAGTATTTACGAGTATGATTGTTACAACTTTTTAATTGACCATATGTTACTCTCGGGTATATTTTTAAGGTTAGAAACCTCTCTCTTATAGACGCGTTTTAAAACATTGAGATTGACAGTGATATGTAACAGGCCAAAACGAACAATATCTGCTAGCAGTGGACTTAGGTTGTTACAAATAATATCAGAGTCAAACACCAGGCAGTGTGCCAACATGGACGCTCAAGATCCCACATCAGCTCGAGAGGGGAACAAAGCATTTCTTATAAGGGTATGGAAACCTCTCCCGAAGAAACGTTAGGGTTGGGCCTTGGGGGAAGTTGAGTTCTACTAGTGGCCCAATTGAGATGAAGTGGGCTATGGGCTTTTTTGGTTGGTTAATGTAAAAAGGCTTTTCAAGCTTATTGGGCTATGAAATTGAAGCCCATATAAAAAAATTAAAAACAGTAATTCACCAAATTTTTTCCATAAAATAAATAACATTAATTATATATATACATATATATATATATATATATATATATATATATATATATATATATATACACACATATAATTACATTTAAATTAAAATTAAAAACCTTGCCCTTTATATTTAAATTAATTTTTAAAAATACAAACTACCCTTACAAGTAAATTTCTGATTAAATCAGGTCGTGGAATAATCCGTAGAATATTTACTAAAAAAAAAAATTTAAATAGTATATTTTTAATATATTATTTTTCTTGTCAGCTAAGTTTACCAGTGTGAAACGATATTTAGCGGGACAAAATCGATTCCATCTGTAAATATTCCGAGATTCAAAGTATTTGATAGAAAAATTTAGGAGAGGGACCGAAGAATAAATCAAAGTTATATCCTAAATTATAATTTTAATGACGCAATAATCAAAATTTATGTTTAAATGTAATTAAACTTACCCATAATGTATTTATTAATTTAATACAAATGAAAAACTTTATAATAAGTTGAGGTGTTACATATTAATATTATTAGATTACATATATATTATATGATATTTTCTTCTTTTCCAAGGCACAGCGAACCAGTTGACCCAAGTGGGCCCCACTTGAACCTTCTAGTTATGGCATCTTATCCATAAAATAATAATTGCAAATAATTCAAGCTTAAAATATATAATAAATTATTATTTGTCTAATATTTAAAAAATGATACTGTAATTGGAAAGTTAGAAGTAAAATTAATATGATGATATTTAATTCAAAATTATTTTATTTTTATAAAATTAAATTGGAAAATAATGTATTTATCTTATTAGAATATAATTGCCCGCTAACCGTCGGCCTTACGGTTTTAGAAGGAATAGTCTCCAACCCTCAATCCCAATCCACCTTCGTACTTACTGGTACACCACCCGGTATCTAGCTCTGATACTATTGAGCTAGCAGATATAATCCACTTTGGTTCATTATGTATCGTCCTCAACCTTATAATTTTAAAATACGTATATTACGGAGAGATTTTACGGTGGTGGGTCATATGATTTATTATTAATAAGAAAAATAATGTTTTGGTATTTAATTATTTACCCACTATCTCCTCTGTTTCTTTCTAAATCTGTGGGGAGAACTTTCCCTCTTTTTTTTTTTTTTAATAAATTTGATCTATAAAAAAAATTTATATCCGATCAAATTGAATTCAAATAAATAAAAATTTAATAGAGCTAAACCCGCTCGATTATTTTAGAGTTCAACAACGTCTAAGGTAGAAGGGTTTAAACGTCGTTCAATTATTTGAAAAAAGAAATAAAAAATAAGTAAGTTATATGTACAGTATTTTAGTATTTTCTGATGGTGTACATGGGTTAGGTTGGACGGGAGAAATCTTTTGGACCAACTGAAAATTTTAGGTTGGTTGAGTCGGTGACTTAAACAATCTAGTAGAGTTTACAACCCAGCCCTCTATTCTCGAGTTGGGTTGGATTTTCAGGTTATTTTTTTGAATTATCTAAAAAAAATCATAGGTATCGACCATACCTATTACATCAATAACTAAAATCCCAACAAACTCAAATATCAGATATTCACAAGTCATCATTAACATTGGTTACAAACAACAAATATTTTCAATTTTTATTGAAGTAGGATAAGGTTGAGTTTGGTTGTAGCCTTATTTTCGAGTTGGTCGGGTTGATCTGACTAAATTTTTTTTTAAGATTTAAGATGGATAGTCTAAGTTGATCGAGTTCTCGAATCATATGAACACTCCTAATATTTTCGACTCGGTCTTGATACTGAGTATGTATCTCAACCAATTGAGGTATGAACGTATTTATAGATGTAGATGAAATTTTATTAAATTAAATTGATATAGTAACCAACTTGAACATAAAGTCTTGGAGGGTATAAAGGTAATTTCGCAATACAAGAATTATAAATAAAACAGGGGCCTCCTCGATTACGGAGTTACTGCTCCACGGACGCAGGCTTTGAACGAAAAAAAATCAAATGGATTTCAGCAAAAACTAATAGCGCGGCACCGCCCATCATAATCTCACAAACCGCCCAATTCTTTTTCGACCTTATAACTGCCAATTTTGATCTTGTTCTTCGTCTTCTCCAAGTAACTCTTTCCAATTCCTACTCACTCTCTCTGTTCGTATTCAAATTCAACTTTCCGTTTATGTTCATACCTGGTTTGTTTCTTGGGTCTTAAGTTTTTGGAGTTAACCGACTTGCGTTTGGCGGCATATGATTACTGGGTTCCATTTATTTGTTTGTGTCTTCTTCTTCTTCTTCTTCTTCTTCTGTGATTTTCTTTCCTCTTTTTCTCGTGTTCTTGAGTTGGGTTCTGTGTAGATTTGATTCTTTTTCACTAATTTTGCGATTAGAATCGCCATTGATGAGTTTCTGGTTGTTTTTCGGTTCTGTATAGCCTAGTTTGGGATATCTCTGTTTTAGATATCTGGGTTTTTCTTCTTCTTGTTCTTCGTTTTTGTACTCTGTTTTCGTTGTTAATCGTGTATTTCAATCGATGGAGAACAATCAGGATAAATGTCGGGAACGGTTTCAGCAATTCGGAAGTGATCACTGTCTTGCGAATGGAGTTTCCGACCATGATGTTTCCGACCGATTCTCCGACGCCGGAGATTCGACTGATCCCGATCAGGACTCGGTGGTTTCGGACTCTGAAAGCGGAATTTCAGGGCCGAGTATGGAGCATGTGGAATGGATCAACGAGGGTTTAGTGAAACTTGCTGAAGAAAAGATTTACGACCTAATCAAGAGAAAATTCTTAACCAGTTTCGGATTGCTCGGCCAGGAAACTACGGTCTCTGCCGTTTACAAGAACAGCCATTCGACCCACATTGGGCAAGCCCGGCTGCACACGTTTCAGATTTACTTGCAAGCAATAGCGAAGAAAAATGGGGGGAATGCTAATGTCAAGTACGCTTGGTTGGGAGCTTCGAAGGATCAAATCAACAGCATTCTGGGCTATGGATTTTCCCATTGCAACAAGCTTGAGAGTTCTCAATCTCTTGGTAATGGCATTTATCTCTCCCCTGATGATCATCCACTTGAAAGGTTAGTCTTAAACGTAATATCCACGATCATGTTCTTCATGATTAACCCTTTTGAGTTCATGTTCTTCTTGTTAATTTAGAACCCCATTTGATTGTTTGTTTCAATTTTTTAGTCTGGAAGATACTGTTGTTGATGAAGATGGATTAAGACATCTATTGCTTTGCCGTGTGATATTGGGGAAATCTGAGCTTGTTCATCCTGGTTCTAGACAGAATCATCCATGTTCTGAAGCGTTTGATTCTGGTGTTGATAATCTCTTTGCACCAAAAACATACATAATTTGGAGCACAAACATGAACACTCACATCTTGCCTGAGTATCTAATTAGTTTCAGAATTCCTCCTCGTTGGAAAGGTTAGTAAATTCCTTGGAACTTGCTTTCTAGAATTCATGGTTTGTTTCCAATTTTAATGGCGTCTTCAATTACTCTTAGGTGCTTTGAAATCCAAACAGCCTTTGAGAATGCCAACCTCCCCTTGGATGCCATTTCCAGCTTTGATATCTGTTCTATCTAAATGTCTACCTGCCCCTCAAATTGACATGATTACTAAGTATCACAAAGATCACAGGGTATGTAAACTTTGATTTGATCCATTTGAATGTAACTTTTTGTGGGTATGGTTGATCTTATTATGTTCAGCTTCTGAATTCTAGGATCATAAGATTTCGAGGCACGAGCTGATAAGGCGAGTGAGGCAGATTGCGGGCGATGATCTGTTGATACATGTAATCAAATCATCAAGAACACAGGTATTTGATTCTTACTTTCCTCGTTCTTTTGCTTTGGAATCTGTTTATATGCCCATGGAATATGATTGTTAGCTTAGAGTTGGAGAGAACTTGTTTGTATTATAATCCAAACACTTTGTTCCCTTTCATATCATAACAGTAGAAGGCTGGCCTATGAATTTTCTATGCTTACTTGGTAAGCTATGTAGAATCTTTGCTTTTGCTTGTGGGAAGTCTTCATCAATCACGTCTGGCATCTGTATTAAAAATTCCTTGCTTTTTGGCCCTTGAAGTTGTATTTGAGATCCCGGTTGGAGAGGAGAACGAAACATTTCTTATAAGGGTGTGGAAACCTCTCCCTAGCATACGCGTTTTGAAATTGTGGGACTTAGAGGAATACGTAACGGGCTAAAGTGGACAATATTTGCTTAGCGGTGGGCTTAGGCTGTTACAAATGGTATCAAAGCCAAACACCAGGCGGTGTGCCAGCGAGGATATTGGGCCCGTGTGAGCTTGGGCTGTTACAAATGGTATCAAAGCCAGACACCAGGCGGTGTACCATCGAGGATGTTGGGGTCCTAAGGAGGTGGATTGTGAGATCCCACGTCAGTTGGAGATGAGAATGAAGCATTTCTTATAAGGGTGTGGAAGCCTCTCTGTAACGGCCCAAGCTCATTGCTAGTAGGTATTGTGCTCTTTAGGCTTCCCCTCAAAACCTTAAAACGCGTCTGTTAGGGAAAGGTTTCCACACCCTTACAAAGGGTGCTTCATTCTCCTCCCCAACCAATGTGGGATATCAAACTCTCCCTAACAAATGGATTTTAAAATCTTGAGGCTGACGACGATACGTAACGGGTCAAAACGGACAATATCTAGCTAGCGGTGGGCTTGATTTGGTATATTGTGTATCCATTTCTTCCTTTTGCGAATGAATTTTCAAATGAATGCCAACCCATATGGAGAAGTGAAGTTATTTGTTAGATTCCATGAATCATGGAAAGGCCTTAAGCTGATGGCTTGGCCATTTTTGTTTGTGCAGCAAAGCAATGGAGCAAGAAATGGACAGAGAACAGCAGCAGGGAGTGTAGATTCACCAATTTTCTTGGAGTAGTTGGATTGGAAGCTTGCAGTTTCTGTTCTGTTTACCACAAAATGGGAGTGCCAAGAAGGCAAATCGACGAACGAGTTTTAGTTTGAATCGAACCCGAACATGTACCTTTGTAAACGAGTTGGTTTCTTTTAGTTCAATCGATCTGTGTTTGTGTATATAAACCCTTTGAACTTTATGATCAACAATTTAGTGACAGACTGATTCAGTGCAACGTATGTCCTAACACAAAGTTAGAATTCTATCTCTTCTAGAGGGGTATCTCACTGATGGCTCGGGCCCCTCGGGAGGGAGTTGTGATATCCCACATTGGTTGGGGAGGAAAATGAAATACTCTTTATAAGGGTATGGAAACCTTTCCCTAGCAGACATGTTTTAAAGCCTCGAGGGGAAAAGCCCGAAAGGGAAAGCCCAAATAGGATAATATCTGCTAACGGTAGGCCTGGGTTGTTTCAAATGGTATCAGGTCCAGACACCGGACTATGTGCTAGTAAGGAGGCTGTTCCCCAAAGGGGTAGACACAAGACCGTGTTCTAGTAAGAACGCTAGAACCTGAAGGGAGACATCGATTGGAGAAAAACACGAGTGCCAGCTTCCGAGTGCCAGCGAGGAAGCTGGGCCCTGAAGGGGGTGGATTGTGATATCCCGCATTGGTTTGGGAGGAGAACTAAATACTCTTTATAGGGTCGTGGAAACCTCTAGCAGATGTGTTTCAAAGCATTGAGGGGAAGTTTGAAAGGAAAAGCCCAAAGAGTAGTGAGTTTGGGCCGTGAGGGGAAGCCCGAAGAGAACAATATTTGCTAGCAGTGGGCTTGAGCCGTTATTGGAGTCTTATTGGACTTTAATAATTAATAATTTATCCTAAGGGTGTTATTAGACTTTAATACAATGGAAATGTTAATTTCCTTTATCAAATTATTACAAAGATGAAGAAATAAATAAATTACTTTTTTCTTCTTTTTTTTTTTTTTTTCCTTTTACTTTTGTACACTATGGAGAATATTATGAATATTGAGGAGAGAATAAATTGTCAGTCATTTTGCTAAACGACGTCGTAACAGTAATATAGCTGACGAGGCAAAAGGCAAAGGGACGTGATACGGTTACATGTACGCGTAGAATTTACATGCGTTTTATGCTTAAAGATCTACACGTGTCATTCAGTGTGTGGAGGTCGGTGATATATTAGCTCACCTTCCATTTTATTTAACTTAATTGCCTTTCTTTCTGGCGGCACACGGAGCTCTCCTGTTGGCCAATTTCAACGACCCAAAAGGCTCCTATTATATAGAAGTATTTTATCTTGTATAGACCAAAAGGGCAAATATGGAATTATCAAAAAGATAATCATCATGTTATGTCGAGACCGACGAGGGTGCAAGGCTAAACCACCTCCCTCGAACGCTCAAGTTTGTAATCGAGTCGATAATAGATATAGAGAGTAATAAGTGAAAGTTTTGAACATACTTCAATGTAGAGATGTTCACGAGAAGGGTAGAGATAGGTAAGCCTTTCGTCTCCGTCCTTGCCTCTTATTTTAATTTTCATCTCCATCCCCGTCTAGAAAAGAAAACTTGTACTTTAGTCACTTTTTGACTATGCCCGACTCACAATACTTTTTTTGACATTTGAAAATTTGTCAATCTATTAGCATGATTCTGATACCATGTTAAGAACCACGACTCTTCACAATAGTATAATATTGTCCACTTTATATTAGCTCGGGCTTTGCTTTGAGATTCTTAAAAGGTCTCGTACCAATAGAGATAGTATTTCTTGATTATAAACTCATGATCATTCCTTAAATTAGCCGACGTGAGACTTTCATCCAACAACCACTTCCTCCCTCATTTCCTATTTAAACACACATTTCCTACCCGACCCTCGATCTCAAGGGTCTCAAACTTAGACGGCGGTCGACGTGGTTGGTCTTTCAAAGTCAACCAACCCAACCTTTAAGCTATACACAATAATTCCCCAATTACTAAACGGTTTAAATATAAAAACCGTACAAAATATCTACTCAACATGTATGTCCTATAACCATCCTCCACGTGTCATAATATCTCGCGTTACGTGTCTCGGAGGTAAAGAATTTTAAAAAGGTCCCATTATTTATTTTAAATACCAAGAATAATAATCCATAAAGTTGTTAACTTTTTTATTTATTTATTTCCATTTTCCATATTAATATTTAAATTCTCAATTTTTTTAATTTTACGAAAAAAAAAAAAAAAAGAATAGATAAGTACAGAAATCAAGACCAGGAGTCGAACCTATCATATCTTTCTCAAACGAATAATAGTGACACTATTTCCTCATACGACTCAGTCTCGAGGAAAGACTTTTAGAACCTACAACATACAACAACAATTCACGAACTGAGTTACTATATACGGAAGCTGAACCTAAAGCTGTGCTCGAAAAATAATTGTCTATACACTAATCTCGAGAGTTGTCTATATACTAATCTCGAGAAAGGGAGGAGTCGAGATGGTCTCCCTGAAATAAATTTAATTTTGAGTATAATGATCGGTAGATTTATTCGATATTTTTTTAATTTTATTGACTTACCTAAAGTTCAATTTTCACTTTTTTTTTTATTGTAAATAATTTTTTTGGTTAAAAAAAATATTTTTTTTATAGTGGAAATTGTGAAACGCTGCGTTTCAGTGGCGCGTAATTGTCAGAAGAAAAAAGTGGAAAAAAAATTATTAGGAAAATATAATTACCAAAAGGGACTGCCCATTATGCAATTCTGAACAGGTTTAAGCGTTGCATTTTGGTCATTTCACTTCTTTGTCTCTTCTTCTTCTTCTTCTTCACCTGTGTGTGAAAGAAAATGGAAGTTGCAGTTCGAGGCAATTAGGGCAAATTTGAAGAATCTAAGGGACTGTAATGATGCAAGGCGGTGACGGTTCGCTGCTTCTTGCTCTCTCTCCTAGCTTCAGCAGCTACTCCTCCGGCAGATTTGCAGAAATTGCCGTCCGTGTCGTGGAGGAACTCCGTAAAGAATCTGATTCTGATTCCTATATTTTCGACTGGAAACCTGAGGCTGTCTCTTCTCTTCAGAACGGAGCCGAACCGGAAGAATTCAACCAAGAATCTCAACACGATGGAAATGAAGAAACAGAGACTGTTGCCGGTGGAAACAGAGACGACGATTTCGAGTTCGAGTTCGCGGTCGTTCCTAGGGAGCCGCAGGCGGTAACAATCTCAGCCGAGGATATCTTCTACAATGGTCAGATTAGACCGATTTATCCGATCTCCAACATGAATCTGTTAATGAACGGATCGATTGCCGATAAGAACAGCAACGTTGATGGCGAGGACAACGACGGAAATTTGAAGACAGCGAAGCCGAAGAGAGTTCATCGTCCGTCGCTTGGAAAACTGATGAGCAAAGAGCGCGAAACGAATTCTTTCTCGTTGTCAGAGGCCGACGAGCTTGACGGAGTTCTTCCTGGAACGTACTGCGTTTGGTCGCCAAAGGAATCGCTCGAGAGATGCAAAAAGAGCAATTCAGCGGGATCATCGAAGCGATGGAAACTCCGAGATCTTCTATACAGAAACAACAGCGACGGAAAGGACAACTTCCTGTTTTTATCCGCAAGCAAGAGAGTGGAGAAAATCGCTGAGGTCTCAAAGGCCTGGACAAAGAAATCGTCGGCAAAGTAAAACCTAGCAGAGTCGCCGCCTCCACCGCCGCCGCCTCCGCCGCGACGGCTGCTACTGTCACTCCGACGGCCGCTGACGAAGGACAACACTTAAAGAATACGTCGAAAGGAGCGGATAAGAAGAGTCGATCAATAACAACACACAGACAAGAAATGGTGGATTTGTTCATCAATGTCAATGGTACGAACAAAAACTCACATCAATTCTGAACATTATTAGGGTTTGAAACGAGATTGATTTGGGGAAGAAGAAATTGATGAAAAAGAAAACCTAATTTGAAAAAAAAAAAAAAAAAATTAATTGGTTTTTTTTTCCCTCTGTTAATTTGGAATAATTAATTTAATTAAACGACAATTTTCTACCAAACAGAAATAGCCAATAATATGTATGAATGAGTTGTAATATTGCCATTTTATTTTGATAATTATTTATATATTTCTGACTATGAAATATTTAATTTTGACCTTATTTTTTGGGTTAAAACCTTGAAAATTGTGAAAATAAAATATAAAAGGCAATGAAATATTGGCTTTTCTTTCTTAAAATAAATATTATTTGGAAATATTTGGAAATTATCCCAAAATCCAAAAAATGGATTTACTTTTATATATATATATAATATTATTATTTGTAAAAGTATTTTCTTCGACTTTACAATTTGTTCTTTCTTTTTCTAATTTTATTTTTAAATTTTGATTATTTATCTTATTGTTTGTATTGCTTTATTAGAACAATAATCTTTCTTTCTTTTTCTTTTTTTTAATTATGGTTTATCCTAAACTTCATTTTTTAATTTTGGGTTTCGTTTGAATTCAACCTTCCACCCGAAGTTATCAAATTGAATAAATTGCTCTTGTTAATGAATGTTGGATTTATAATTCGTGTTTGATCTATTGAGCATTTATGATTGTTCTTCGACAATTTTGTGGGGATGGGGATGATTTGTGCCTTTTAGTGCAATAGATACGGGTATAAATTTGAACTTTTGGCTTTCAAAGGAAGAGGTAAAAACCGAAAAAAAATTATGTTTTTTTAGGTTAAAACTTCTCTTCCTAAAGGTATTATAATCGGTATTATAACTAATTGAACTATACTTAGATTGATAATAAAATAATTTAATGATTATTTTTTATTTTTTTAGTTTCCAAACTTTAACTTACATTTTGAACCTACTCGAGTTAAAATTTTTTTAGGTTGGTTTTATTTTATTTATTTATTTTAAATTTACAAGCAAAATGAGTAAATCGAGGTTTAAAGTTGAAATGTCGGATATGTAGCCTTTTGTCTTTATTCCTTAGATATGCTTTGTTTTTATTCTTCTTATATACTTTTATTTAATTTTTTTTATATTTAGAAATAAACGTGTCTAATAATATTCTTTGATAACGCTCGAAAAGTTAAGTTTGAAAGTAGAATACTTTCGATTTATAGAAAGCATATAGTTGTATTTATCCATTAATCACTTTAAGGGAAAAAAAATGAGGTTTTAATATTAAAAGAATTCGAAAATTTATGATTTTATTTGGTGGGTATTGTCAAAAGATGTGCAGTGTTTTAAAGAAATTGATTATACATTAATTAATGTGTTTTCATTATTAATTAATGGAATTAATGACTTTATATATTGATTAAGATCGAGTTGGGTTGGTGGGTTTGAATTTATCAGAATGAAAATGAAAGAAGGGTAGAACTGTGGGTTCAATCTCTATATTATTATTATTATTTATTATTATTATTATTAGTGCAAGCAATTCCATCTTTATATTAATTATCTTTCAATTATTTGTTGAATTATTCAAATTACACTATTTTTGGCATAAATACTGCCCTTTATTATTATTAATTTTTTTTAATATAAAAATTGCCCTCTAAAACATAGTAAAAGAAAGAAATCTAATTAGATATATGTGATGTCCCATGCTGGTTGGGGAGAGAACAAACCACCATTTACCTCCATTTGAAGTGTGTGGAAACTTTTTCTAGCAGACGTTTTAATGTTTTAAAATCTTGAGGGGAAGCTCAAAAGGAAAAGTCCTATCTGCTAACGGTGGATCTGGGTTGTAACAAATGGTATCAGAGCTAGACACCAGACGATGTGCCAGCCTTCTCGCTGTTCCCCGAAGGAGGTAGACACGAGACTGTGTGCCAGTAAGGACGCTGGGCCCCAAGGGAGTGGGTTTGGGGGCAGTCCCACATCGATTGGAGGAAGGAAAGAGTGCCAGCGAGGACACCAGCCCCAAAGGGAGGTGGATTGTGATGTTCCACATTGGTTGGAGAGGAGAACAAACCACCATTTATAAGGGTGTGAAAACCTTCCCTAGCTTATGCGTTTTAAAGCCTTGAGGGGAAGCCCGAAAGGAAAAGCCCAAATAGGACAATATCTGCTAGCGGTGGATCTGAACTGTTACAATATATCAGAATAAATAAATGTATAGTTCTAGTTCTTATTTCTACCGACTATTATATTAATTCAAATATCTTCGTATGAGGTTATATTTATTAGAATTGTTGTCATGAAGTCGACCGATAAACAAAGTAAATTCAATGGAAACCAAAAAACGGGAGGGTGTCACGTTGGACAGAAGACGATCCAAAAGGCAAAGGCTCATCAGGATTCATGAAGATACATAATTATTAGAGAAAATTGCAACCTATCAAACTAATAATAAAAAAGGGGCGAGACAAGTAGCTTGTTTCCAACCCGAGCTTGTTCCAAATAATCATACCTTAGCACGATTTTTAATTTGCATTTTTCTTCCGAATATATTTCTATCAATTAAATTAGTCATCACCACATGTAATATAATACACTAAGATTAAAGGGGGAAATCACAATCATTAGAAAGACAGACAATAATCCAACAGCAAAAGCTTTTCTCTGCTTTGGAAAATGGGACAGTTCCCAGCAGAGTCAGCCTACCTTTGAAGTTGTAAACATAAGGCTGCAGCCTCCGGCCAACGTAGCGGCGCCGCCGTCGACCGCCGCATCTCCAAGCACAATCCAATTCCAAATAATAGGTAATCAAAACAGGCTTGGTGGTGAAAAAAGAACAATACTCTGATTTCAATCACAGTAAATAAAAGCTTTTCCCATTGGAATTGGAAAACTAATGTCCACCCACAGTTTGACCAAAGGAATAAAAAAATAAATAAATAAAAACTTGTCTTCCTACTTTTAGAATTTAATTTTTGATATTTTGTCAGTCTTACTAGTAATATGGTGACTGGGTTTGGGTGTCCTAAAAAGGGGAGTCCGTCTTCATCAACTAAACAACTACAAATATGTCGAGAATCATTCAGACACAAAATCCAATTCGACAACTTATTGGACACTTTTCAAAGACCTATTGAACATAAAAATTGAAATCCACCTATTACACAATTCAAAGACAACACGAGCACTTTGATCAAAGTGTAAAGGACACAATTCAAAGACTACGCATTATAATTTATCGAAGAAGCATCCAAATCAAAGTGTAAAGGGTGAGGGTGGGCAGGCAGTCTTAAACCACTAAAGTTGGGGTTTTTGGGTATGGGTAAATTCCTTGTAATGAATGCTCGTCTCCAGAAAGATAGAAAGTCAAATAAGGGTAATAAAAAAAAACAGACATGTTTGTTTATGACAATTGGCAATGGTAGAAGTAAGACTAGACTAGTAGCAGTGAAGTGTTTTTTGTCGTTTGGCAGCGTCAATCATGTAGAGAGAGAGACAGCAGTTGTTAAGGGAATAATGAAGTTTCTTTCCGAAGTGTAAGCTCCAATATCTGCACTGAAAAGTTTGTTCTGTCTGATTGTGTCTTTTTGGTTCTCCAGATTTTCTAAAATCAATAACCAAAACGCACCCATGTGCATCTGCAGAAACAGCCCCACCTCTCCCATTTTTCTCTTCACCCAAAATCCTCACTTTATTTTCTAGATTCCCAGCTTCCCACCCCAGTCTCAACTACCCCCACAAAAGCAAAAACAAAACCCTGTTCGGGTTATCATTCAGAATAAAACTATGACCCCATAGTATTTAAGATGTCAAATATCTATGTGGTAGTTGTGTCCCATAGATTAAATAAAAAATTGAAAATCTACCAGTTGCTACAATTTAACAAAAAAGTGTAACAAATATAACAAAAAAGTCAAGAGATTGCAATAATAATCATCATAATGTTGGACTGATCAGATTAGATGTTGCTGGACTAATCCATAATTGACCAAAAGACTTGCGGGTAAACTTCGTAAATTTTCCACAAAATGATAAAAGATCTTTCAATTTAAGAAGGATTTTGTTCCACTATTAAACTTATAATCGAGAAAATGGTTGAGGAAAAATGGTATAATTAGGACCTCTAAACGGATAGTGACACCTAAATGGGTTAATAGATTAAACAGATGCATGATAGTGACCTTGCATACAGATGAGTATCTCGGAGATCTATAGACAGTGTTGTTGAATAGAAATTTTGATACTCACATTGCAATAGAAGTATCACAGTAATCAGACTTGACTTGAAGCGTCCATTGAACTGACAGATGAGAATTCTCCTCATGGTTACTTTATCCCATCCCATGCAAATCGTTTGCCTGTAACTATTCAATATCCTTACAAAAAATTAATCGTATCAAAGCGTTTCTACGGTCGAATCCATTTTGAATTTATAAATGCAAAACTGAACAGATTAAACCATTCTGAAATCTGAACATTGCCTTGCTTTTACTATTAGCACCTTTTTACCATACCTCGTATTTCATTCAGAGTCCTGAATTCGTCCTAAACCTGGTGTCCCATTTTTAAGAACCTCTTGCAACTAACTAGCCAAAAGTGGAAGTCTGATCAAATGACAATGTTTCAGTCTGGACAGTTTGATTTAGACCTCTGATATCTTCAGCTGCTTCTGGCATTGAGAACCCATGGCCGACTAATTGGCTGCTTATGTATTCTCACATTATCTTGCTGCCTCCTCCAAGATGCTGAACCGCCACCGTTCCACAAATAGTTCGTCCCAAAATTCTGTACCATCGAATAATAACCTTGCATCTGTAATTGACCTTCCAGGAAAAATCCCTTTAAGGTTATCTCATTAAAAGAAAAAATCAGCAATTTTCTGTCAAGGGATAAAACCTGTCAACCATTTGCATATCTTTTTCGTGTCTTTCTATGTGAATTCAATTTTCTACTAATAACAAAGTCGACAACTATATACTCCAAACCTTCCCGTCGATGTGAGCTCTTGGGGAAGATCAGCCTGTTATCCCTAGAGTCACTTTTATCCATTGAGCCACAACTCTTCCACTCGGCACCGTCGGACCACTAAGGCCGACTTTCGTCCCTGCTCGACGGGTGGGTCTTGCAGTCAAGCTCCCTTCTGCCTTTGCACTCGAGGGCCAATCTCCGTCTGGCCCGAGGAAACCTTTGCACGCCTCCATTACCGTTTGGGAGGTCTCGCCCCATAGAAACTGTCTACTTGAGACTGTCCCTTGGCCCGTAGGTCCTGACACTGGTTAGAATTCTTGCTCTTCCAGAGTGGGATCTCATAGGATGCACTTAAAAAAAACTTTTCCGGTGTTAGAAGTTGGAACTAATAATCCATGACAAATATAATGGCACAAATTGCCCCATCATGCAGAAATATCCAATTGAAAAAATAAAACAGGGTCGAATGATTATGAATAATTTATGCAAAAGGCTGGCATACTTAATTCCTCGAAATAACAGTTACAAATTAAAAGAAAGTACAATGAATTCATTGATGGAATATCGATCAATTGCACATGGTTCCTCAATTCCAGACCTTCATAAATTACCAATCAGAGTCCAATCAGAGTCCAACAATCCAACGAACAAGCTTCTAACAGACTATTAATCTTGTATGATACTTAGAAACGAAGAAAGAAGCTGAGTAAACTGTAATGCATTTTTCTTCAAGAGTACAGGATCACGTCCTTTTCTAACAGCAACACGTGTTTCTACCAACAGTCTAAATTAAAAATTCAGGCCGACGCCAAGAAAGAATCCAAACAAACAGCCTTGAAAAGCATACGTGATACGCCAAATAAATAACTCGAAGAAATTCACAATGTCAATAAAGATAAAACCAACTCTCACTCAACACTGACATTTCCCTAATACTCCTCGCCTAATCACAAATAACAGATCAAATTGAAAGTTCCAATAAACAGTCACAACAAACAAAATGAAAAAGAAACTCAATCTTGAACAGACGCAAAAGATCATTGAACCTGAACTCTGCACATTCACAGCCATCATCGTAGGAGTTGATTGAGACGCCATAAAAATAACCTTCTTCGAACAGAATCACATTAGAAATCACCATGCCAAACTGATCATAGATCGAAGCACACCGTTAATGGCGGAACCGACTGATTACAGCTTCAAACAAATCCTCGAGTAATGCAAATACTTCCACTAGAAATTAATGAAGATCAGAAAAGGCAAAACATCAATTAATAATTCGACCACGCGCGCCAAATCTTAATGGGCCGACCACCATGATATTGGGCCGGGCTTCATTATTCTAAAAGCCCATTCAAGAGACAAAAATGAAAAAAAAAAAAAAAAATTGACAGCTGTGGGATTTGAACCCACGCCCTTTCGGACCAGAGCCTAAATCTGGCGCCTTAGACCACTCGGCCAAACTGTCTTGATGCAACAAATGTTCCATATAAATTTTTTATATAAAATATTTATACCTTGAAATTTATAAAAATAATAATTATTTATTATAATAATTGTTCCTTTAAAACATAAAAAAAGGCAAAAAAAATTCACAACCTTGATTTAATAATAATAAATAATAATACCCTAAGTCTTATAATACAAGCTTTAAGATGATGAATTCCTCCTAGGCTTCAAAGAGGCAGATAATTGTTCAGTAATACATGTTGGTAAGCATTTTAAAGCAGTAGTATATCTAGATGAAGGCACATAGTGACAGAAAAATTCTGGATCTTCATTATAAGCCTCCATATAAGTTTCCAAATTTGAAACGATCTCGTCAAAATGTGGTCGCTTGTCGGGATTTTTCGACCAGCATCTCTTGATCATGCGACGAAATGCCTGTGGGCACGCCGAAGGTAGAGGGGGTCTTGCATTCTGAAGAATACAGACAGAAGGTATCTCGTCAGCTACACCGAGTAAAAGATATGTATAATGTGGTAACACTAAGACAAAAGCAGCACATAGACAGAAGGTAACCCGTCAGCTACTCCGAGGAAAAGATATGTATAACGTTGTAGCGCTAAGACAAAGGCAGAACACAGACAGAAGCTAACTCATCAGCTACTCCGAGTCAACTATATGTATAATGTTGTAATGCTAAGACAAAGGCATAACACAGACAGAAGCTAACTCGTCAGCTACTCCGAGTCAACGATATGTATAATGTTATAACGCTAAGACAAAGGCAGAACACAGAGAGAAGCTAACTCGTCAGCTACTCCGAGTCAAAGATATGTATAATGTTGTAACGCTAAAACAAAGGCAGAACACAGACAGAAGCTAACTCATTAGCTACTCCGAGTCAACGATATGTATAATGTTGTAACCCTAAGACAAAGGCATAACAGACAGAAGCTAACTCATCAGCTACTCCGAGTCAACGATATGTATAATGTAGTAACGCTAAGACAAAGACAGAACACGGACAGAGGGTAACTCGTCAGCTACTCCGAGTAAAAGATATGTATAATATGGTAACGCTAAGACAAAATAAGAACAAAACCGCTATCGAGTGAAGCTAATGAAGTGCTTAGTTGAGGCTAATGGTTACCTTCTGGCATACTGCAAATGCTGCTTGTTCAGGAGTCATGTTATCAAATGGTGTCAATGCAGTTAAGAGCTCCCACAAGACAATGCCAAAGCTATAAACATCAACCTTCTTGGTGTGATGTTTTTCTTTGATCATTTCGGGTGCCATCCACCGGTATGTTCCCGTGAATCCCTTTGCGCTTCCGCACTGAGATTCGAGGCACGAGATACCGAAATCTGCTACCTTAACACACATATCTTCACCAAGTAAGAGATTTTCTGATTTGAGATCTCTGTGAAGTATTCCCTGAGAATGAAGGTACCGCATCCCACGAGCGATGTCGAGTGCTAGCTTCAGAACCAAGTTCAGTGGAACGGAATGTGGCTCCTGCTGATGGAGGTATTTTCTTAACGACCCGCCCGACATGTACTCCGTGATGATGCAAAAAACTGGAGGTTTCTTGCAAGCTGCAATGAACTGCAGGATGAAGAACACCAAAACTAGCGTTGTTAGGAGTAAAATAGATTCAATTATGCTAAGGTGTGCAGATCTAATACATGAAATGGAAATAAAAAAACAAATGAAACCATTGCTCATAGCCCCTTGTAACAAATGAACTTAGATCGTCTTCTTTAGCTCTAATATCCAATAGCTCCGTTTTCGGAGGTCGTCGTGTTGTAGTGTATCTAAAGAAGTGATAAGCGCCAATAATGTTAGATTTGCAAAGCTAGAGGTCGTTTTGGGATCCTTACAAACTTTCACAAATAGAGCTAACTTAATGAATGATTCCAACCAAGAGCTAGTTAGAAGGATGAATAACTCTTAGATCGAACTTTGAATCTATGATGATCACTCTTAGTCCCAAGACGACTCACTTTTGCCTTGTTTCTTGTAATTGCTCATTCGAGTACATGCAATGGATCAGTGGTTGGATTCATATCAACAAGGCAAAGGAACAACGGAGCAAGAAGAGAGTTTCAACTTTGAAGACTTTTTCGTTTGAGCACAGGGCTCCAAGCCTTTTGTTGACAAAGATCAATATCCTCGATCTCTTCCTAAATATTGATCGACGTTCTCTCGATATTCAGGAATTTCCCATGCTACCCCCATCCATCCATCAGTGCATTGGATGCACAGGGCTCAAGCCTTTTATTGATAAAGATCAGGATCCTCGATCTCTTCCTGAATATTAATCTACGTTCTCTCGGTACTCAAGAATTTTCCAGGCTACCCCCATCCATCCATTAGTGCATCCATTGCACGAGGCTCCAAGCCTTGTATTGACAAAGATGAGGATCCTTGATCTCTTCCTGAATATTGATCGACATTCTCTCGGTACTCAAGAATTTCCCACGCTACCCCCATCCATCCATCAGTGCATCCATTGCACGGGGCTCCAAGCCTTTCATTGACAAAGATCAGGATCCTCGATCTCTTCCTGAATATTGATCGACGTTCTCTCGATATTCAGGAATTTCCCAGGCTACCCCCGTCCATCCATTAGTGCATTCATTGCACGAGGCTTGAAGCCTTTTGTTGACAAAGATCAGGGTCCTCTATCTCTTTTTGAATATTGATCAACGTTCTCTCGATACTCAGGAATCTTCCCGGCTACCCACATCCATTAATGCATCCACTAAGTCAGAAATGAAGTATTCAAAACCTCTAAATCAAAGCGTTGCTAGAATAGAACTAGACTAGATACGAACGTTACAGGAACCAGTAAAATACATGAACAACCCAAGAAGAATTCACCACAAACACATTCCAATTCCCTTTCATGAAACATTCAATGCTTTAGACAACAAATAAACACAAACCCACATAAAAGAAACCAAGTAAATGAAACATACAGTGATGATATTAGGATGCCTCAATCGAAACAGCAATGCCACCTCTGAAATGAACTGATTCTCAAGAAAGATAGCCAAATTTTCGTCCTGCTCAGGCTGGCTTATCAGCTTAATAGCAACCTCCCTCTGCTTATACACACCTCTGTAAATCCTGCTATGCCTTCCTGTAGCAAATTTAAAGCCAATAAACAATTGAGACATGTCCGCACTCCATTCTTCTTCATCTTCTCCCTTAATCTCTGCACCAGACGACACCAAATACTTAGACCATGACACAGCCCGCTCATACTCCCCAAGAGAAAGCCTCCTCCCAGGCTTTCCATTGATCGAAATTGGCTTGAACCAGTTCAAATTCCTCATGGGGTATGCCCAAATTTTAACAAAATCATTAATCTACCCTCTTCAATCCTTCCCCACCCAATGTAGATTCTAAATCGACCCCAAATTTTGGTAAATCAATCGTTGCAAGAACAAGATCTATAGCTGGAAATCAAGAGAAAAACAGAACCCACATCGATTAATGCACCCACTATGTTAAACTACATTTTCCCTCAAACTCACGCATCAGATACAAATGGAGCTAAATTTGAATCAAATGATACACACACATGCATATTCATATCCATATCTGATACTCAACAGAAGAAATGAACTCATGAACACCAAATTTGAAGGTGGAACAGAGAGGAAAGGGGTAATGATGAAGATGGGGAGTTTTTTTTCTTGATTTTTTCACTTGGGTTTTGAGAGTGAGAGAGAAAGGGTTTACTGGTAAAGAGCTGGAGAGAGAGAGAGGGAGGGAAGAGGGGGAAAAGGGTGAGTTGAGATGTAGCTGTTGTTTGCGGTGGTGCAGTGGTAGCATATATGGGGAAGACTCGTCTCCTTCGTCTGCTCTAACGCCAATGGGTTATGCCCATTACATTCATAACGTGTAAAGATCCTCCTCTTAGGGGACAACACTGGTCCTCTTTGATTATGACCCCTACCCTCTCATTTTCCTTCCTTTTCACCCCTTACCTTCTCCTTTATTTCCATCTTGCCACTCAATTATTTACTCCCTTCCCCCTCCCCCATGTCTACCTTCCCCTCATATTGTTTCAATCCCTCGTAAACCCATGAAGCGATCGAGTTGTTTCCGCTAATACCCTCGTGAGATTGAGAATTCGGATTCGACATATGATAGTTTTAGTGCTTCTTTGCGTTCCATGCAACAGGATTGTTGGGAGAGGGGTTCTATCTCATCTAATGAAGGGGTTGATCATGAGTTTATAAGTAAAGAATACATCTCCATTGGTATGAGGTCTTTTGGGAAAATCAAAAGCAAAGTCAGGAGAAGCTTATGCTCAAAGTGGACAATATCATATCATTGTGGAGGTTCATGATTTATAACATGATATTAGAGTCATGTCCTTAACTTATCTATGTTAATAAAATCCTCAAATGTTGAGCAAAGAAGTTGCGAGTCTCAAAGATGTAGTCAAAAGTGACTAAAGTGTCGAATAAATAATATACTTTGTTTGAGGGCTCTAGAGAGGAGTCGAGCCTCGATTAAGGAGAGGTTGTTCGAGGGCTCCAAGCCTCATGGGAGACTCTATGGTGTACTTTGTTCGAGAAGGAGATTATTGGGAGAGGAGTTCCACATCAGAAAATTAAGGGGTTGATCATGAGTTTATAAGTAAGGAACACATCTTTAAAATCACGAGAGTTTGTGCTCAAAGTGGACAATATCATACAATTGTGAAGCTCTGTGATTTCTAATAAGGATGTCACCTAGTAACTTGCGTCCGTATGATCGCTCTCATTCAGATATTGTCTCGGTTCATTTACATACACTTCTATTACTCGGACATCATAGCTAGGAGCAAACGTGGTACATCCATCCCTTCTGAAAGCCATCAAATTGTTGATGCCAAAGTAGCAAAAATTTCCAGACATGGGAGTGTTAACTCGGGTATCATACGAACCTTTATTCTTAATAAAGCAAAGTGGCGCCTTCGTTTGATTCATAATTCAAAGGTCTCAGACTTCATCGTCACATTCTTCCCATTAGTGACTGAAATCTCTCCAATAATACGCTAAGGTTAACATAAATTACAATGCGTCGCTCGAAGTCTCTCGAGCCCCCTGTTGTATCAATCTATATTCCATTTTAGGAAAAATCCAAAATGAAACAAAATTGGGTAAAATAAAAAGGAAGGATGGAAGGGTAGAAGGGGAAAAGGGGAAAAAAAGTAGGGGTAAAAGAGGAAGAGTGAAGAGTAGTTAGATGGAGTAACTGAAACGGAAGAAGAAAGAAGAAAGAAGAGTTATTTATTTATTTATTTTTTAAAGGCGTGGGCGTGGGGCCCACTTTACAGTGAAGTGTCCGTGGGTTTGTCGGACAAAGCCGTATGGTCCTCTTCCGTATACGGTCTTTCTCTCTCTTCCCCCATTTGCGCGTTTTTCTCTCTCTAGCTTTATACCACAATTACCCCTCGTCCCTGACCAGTTATTATCATCATTATTATTATTATTATTATTATTTAAAAAATAAATAAATTTCATTATTTTATTATATTCCTTTTAAATCACCACCTCAAAAAAGCTGCCCCTGGGCCCCACCAACTTTTTGGTCGTTTCCCAAATATCTCCCGCATCTCATGCAACTTACTTAACAAACCTCAAGGATAAAACAGTCTTTCTCCCTACCTTTTAGATTTATATTTCAATTTTTTAAAATTTAATCAATCTTTAAATTAAAAGGTTGTAATTTCTATTTTATTTTAATGATTTTTCCAACATTTTTTAAAAATCAAAGGTTGTAATTTAATTTTTTAATTAGCATTTTTCCAATATGGTTTTTTTTTGTTAAATATAATAATAATAATAATTAATTGTTTAGCTTGACAGTTGAGAAAAAGAATAAATATTAAGTTCATAACTAACTTTGGAATAATCCCATAAGAAATAATAATTGAAAATTTAATCCATTTTTTAATTTTAAATATAAATTCTGACAAGATTCTTGTATTTAGATTCTTATCTCAATGCTTTTTTTTTTTTACTCGGCAGTATGATAATTTATTTTAAAAATAAAATAAAATAAAATAACTCAAGTAGCTATTTAATTAAAGTTATAAAAGCTTATATTAAAAAAAGGAAAGCTCTTTTTTCCATTTTTTTATTTCTAAGTTGGATTTAGATTAAAATATTTGTATAAATAAGATAGACATAGATGTTGTCCTCATTCGCCCGTTATGCCCACTGCTAATAGATACTGTCCCATTTGGCCCGTTACACCCACCGCTAATAGTTACTGACCGCTTTGACCTGTTACGTATCGTCATCAATCTCACAGTTTTACTATGCGTCTTATACGGAGAGGTTCCACACCCTTATTAAAAAAAAAAAAAAAAATGCTTCGTTCCTCTCTCCAATCTACGTGGAATCTCACAATCCACCACTCTTCAGAGCTCAGTGTCTTCGCTAGCACATCATTCCATGTCTGGCTATGATAACAACTCAGACCCATTGTTAGTAAAAATTGTTTGTTTTGGCCCGTTATGTATCGTCGTCAGCCTCACGATTTTAAAACGTGCCGGCTACGGAGAAGTTTTCACACTCTTATAAAAAATACTCTGTTCTCCTCTCCAACCCATATATGACGTCAGAAAAAAAGAATATAATAGATTTTATTTTTAAATTTATTCATAAACTATCGCAATATTTATTTCTAAAATATTTAGACAATTGACTGGCTGAACCATATTAAACTTATGATGATATTTTAACCCGATACAGGTGGGTAGCTATAACCTACAATAAAAAAAATTGAAAATAAAAAGGAATATTTGAAAAAAAACGAGGAAAAAGAACAGGAATTTAGGATATAAAATATAAAAATTAAAAAGAAAAAAAAAAGGCAATATTTAAATATTTAAATGTCCTATGTCCATAAAGTTCACAGGACCTAAAAGTAGGCATACTGTGGGTCCCACCCCACGTAGAAAGAAAGGACAATGTTTTATTTTTTTCACTTTAGGGAAAAAAATATTTGTCCGTACATACACGTGGCAGAATCTTTTTTCCTTCATCCTCGCATTTTAATTTTATTATTATTATTTTTAAAAACTTCAAATTAATCTTTTTTGTATTTATTAATTTATTGTCAATTTTTCTTTAAAATAAATAGGAAAGATTAATCATCCTTTTAATTTTCTTAAAACATTTATCTTATATTTTTATTGCACAAAAAATAATGTTATTATTAAAATATTAAATTTGTACAATTAAAAGTGATATTTTAATTAAATAATCGAGATATTGAGTTGTCATTAATGTTGGAAAAAGAAAAAAAAATATTTTTTTTTAATTTTTTAATTTTTTTATATCTCGATATGATTCTTTCCTTTAAAATTGAGCTAATTATTTACTATTTATTTAAGACATCAAAAATCAAGGATTAGGTTGACATCCCAAAGTTGGAAATATTAAATAATTTTTAAAAAGATTTAGGATCTTAATAATTATTAAAGCTTCAATCATTATCTCCATACCATTAATTTTATATTATTATCTAAAATAATAACGACGATATAATAATAATAATAATAATATTTTGATTTTCTTCGATAATTTATTTTTCAGTAGCCCACTTAGAAGTATACGATAACTTCACTGAATTCATTGTTCGAGTTGAGATCAGACCTTAATATTCTCATGATAAGTATGTTTCGAGTCAAACAAGTTATGATTGAGTTTTGTTCCAATTTCCTCACAAATAAAACGAGATTACGATCATTGTTCGAGTTGAGATCAGACCTCACTATTCTCATGATAAGCTTATTTCGAGTCAAATAAGTCATGATCGAGTTTCGATCGAGTTTCGTTCTAGTTTCCTCACAAACAAAACGAGATTACAATCACTGTATGAGTTGAGATCAGACCTCGCTATTTTCATGACGAGCCTGTTTCAAGTCAAACAAGTCATGATCGAGTTCCACTCCAGTTTCCTCACAAACAAAACGAGACTACAGTCACTGTATGAGTTGAGATCAAACCTCGCTATTCTCATGACAAACCTCTTCCGAGTCAAACAAGTCATGTTAATGTTCCATTTCAGTTTCCTCACAAACAAAACGAGATTACGATTACTGTTCGAGTTGAGATCAAACCTCACTATTCTCATGACAAGCCTATTTCAAGTCATGATCGAGTTCCATTCTAATTTCCTCACAAACAAAACGAGACTACAGTCACTGTTCGAGTTGAGATCAAACCTCGCTATTCTCATGACAAACCTCTTCCGAGTCAAACAAGTCATGTTAGTGTTCCATTTCAGTTTCCTCACAAACAAAACGAGATTACGATCACTGTTCGAGTTGAGATCAAATCTCACTATTCTCATGACAAACCTGTCTCGAGTCAAACAAGTCATGATTGAGTTCAATTCCAATTTCCTCACAAACAAAATGAGATCACGATCGATTTGATACAAACCACGACGAGTGCCACGCTCAAGACAACGGGCATTTAAGCTCGTAATAATGTATATGATTAGTGTTCTAAACTTAAGAAAAGAACAAGAGAGGGCGGGGAATGTTTGTCAGGTAGTGAGGAATCTGTACGAACCACGAGCTATGAACATGGGCTAATGGAAGAAACCCACGTGAACTCCTGTTTCCTCCATGCCTCAAGCTTTGAAGGTCACTGTCAGAGTTCATAAGCATTTTATAACCATCTTTGGAAACCTAACAAAAAGTTGACTCACTCTGCAAATCTGTCCTCTTCCCCTTCTTCCAAACCTGCATCGGGTTTACCGTACAACTATAGACGTGTAACAGCCCAAGTCCACCGCTAACAGATATTGTCCGTTTTGGGTCATTATGTATTGCTGTCAGCCTCACGATTTTAAAACGTGTATGCCATGGAGAGGTTTTCACACCCTAGTAAGGATTGTTTTGTTCCCATCTCCAACCGATGTGAGGGTTACTGATTATGCAGGATTCATGGTAGGTAGGTCTCCGGGGTTGAAGGAGCTGGGAAGTTTTAGTGACCAAAAAGGCGGGTTCAGTCTGTACACGATCAATGTCAAGAAGCAGATGGCACGGGCGAGCTACCGTTCTCGATGCTGTCGAAATGAGTGGCTGAAGGTCGATTGGCAGATGTTTGTTCTGTGTCCAAGTGCAGGTTAGAAAGAGCATTGAGGTCGAGATTTGGGAAGATGGAGGAGCGGCACCGAGGACATTTGACATTCAGACGAAGCCACTCGTCGATACATTCGACATGGAAGTTGTGAGCACACGGCATACCGCGAACCTGCATAAAGTCCAGGAGGAGAACAGAACAGTTGCATTCATTTGTTCAACCACAAAATCAAATGGATATGCAAATAAGTTGTTCAGTTTATGTTTGATCAGAATGAATACAATTGCATCATAGAGAAGTTCAAACAGTTTACCTCATTCCCTACATGGAACTCTTCAAGGCAAATCGGGCATTCACTGCAATCCGTCGGGACCGCCTTCAGCCCGAACTTCGGAAGTTCTTGGATGAGAGCTTCCACAGCTTCCCTCTGCACAAACCCCCGAAAAATAGCCCGTTCGTAAGAACTTTGTGTTTCATAATCAGCAAAGAAAGAGCAAGCCTACTGATTTCTCAGCACACGCCCACCGTTAGCAGATATTGTCCACTTTGTTCCATTACATAACAACCCAATCCCATTACTAGTGGATATTGTCCGTTTTGCCCCATTACGTATCGCTGTCAGCCTCACGGTTTTAAAACGTGTCTGCAAGGGAAAGGTTTTCACACCCTTATAAGGAATGTTTCCTTCCCCTCTCCAACCGATGTGAAATCTCACATCCATCCCCTTGGGAGCCCAGCGTCTTCGCTGACTGGCTCTGATACCATTTGTAACAGCCCAAGTCCACCGCTACTAGATATTGTCCGCTTTGGCCCATTACGTATCGTCGTCGGCCTCACGGTTTTAAAACACGTCTACAAGGGAGAACTTTCCACACCCTTATAAAGAATGCTTCGTTCCCTTCTCCAACCAATGTGGGATCTCACAATGCGTATGTAACATGTTACAGCATCTCTTTAACAGACCGTTTGCGAAATAACGATATAAAAACCGATCGAGAAGTTCAATACATGTTACTACAACAGATCCAAAACCAAGCGCAAAAAGTTTTCCATATGCATTGATTTAAGCGTCACACATTTACCTGAGCTGAGGTTAAGAAAAGCCCGGGATGGTACCCCATAGCATCTTGCCCAACGCCTCGTATTTCCAGTCCTGCAGCTTCAAACGCCCAATCAGGAACCCGAATCATATCAACAAGTACCTGGTTTGCAGAAAAATGCTACTCCATTCAATCTTTGGGCATATGATCACAATTTAAAGTGCCAACAACAAGAAGTTTTCGAGCTTACCCCATATTCAGACACGGGGACGCCTTGTTGGGCACGTAACAAGTGTGCTTGTCGACGCGCTAACCACTGCTTAACACGGTTTTAGAAGCATTAAGTATGAAACAAGAACAATTTGAAGCAATAGGTTTGCTTAGGCCCTCAATTATTGGAGAAGTAGACAGAAAATGAATAACCTTTCCAACTGACATGCAAGCAATGCAAAGAAGGGCACAGTAGCTGAAAAGCAACCAAATGAGGAAGCCCCATTTCTGTCCTTCTTCGGGCAACTGCACGCATCGACGAGACGAACTAAACAATCAAAGCTTGTAGATAGATAATTTGGCGACATTAACGGAGGAATAGTATATAGCTTACACAGTCTTTAGCGTCTCGAAACCATAGGGTACCGATTACAGTCCACGCACATAAAAACGGGTAGAGGAATATAGAGAGAATAGAAAGAACCACAACTCTTCCACAAAACTGAGCATATTGTTGGAGCCATCCAAAATCCCTAATGAAAAGTTATGTTTAAGAGTTAAGAATAAGGCACCAAATCTGAAATACACCACTGCCTCCCTTAAGAACTTGCAAGAAAACAAGAAATCAACAATGAGATTTGCAACCATGCGGCTGAACCTCGAAGGGGGTTGACACGAGGCGGTGTGCCAGCAAGGATGTTGGGTCCTGAAAGGGGTGGATTGGAGGGCCCCACATCGATTGGAGAAGGGAACGAGTACCAGCGAGATCACTGGGCCCCAATGGGGGTGGGGTTGTGAGATCCCACCTCGACTGGAGAGGGGAACAAAGCATTTTTTATAACGGTGTGGAAACCTCTCCCGAGCAGACCTTGAGGGGAAGCCCAGAAGGGAACGTCCCAAGAGGACAATATCTGCTAGCGGCTTGGGTTGTTATAGATATTGTCCTCCTTGGGTTTTCCCTTTCGAGCTTTCTCTGAAGGTTTTAAAACGTGTTCACTAGGGAGAAGTTTTCACACCCTTATAAGGAGTTTCGTTTCCCTCTCCAACTGATGTGGGATCTCATAGTCCACCCCTAGCCCACCGCTAGTAGATATTGTCCTCTTTGGGTTTTTCCTTCCAAGCTTCCCCTCGAGGTTTTAAAATGCAACAACTAAGGAGTGGTTTCCACACCCTTATAAAGAATGCTTCGTTCCCCTCTCCAACCGAAATGAGATCTCACAATCCACCCCTCTTGGGGGCCCAGTGTCCTCGCTGGCACACCATCCACTGTCTGGCTCTGATACCATTTGTAATAACCCAAGCCCACCGCTAGCAGATATTGTCTTCTTTGAACTTTTTCTTCCAAGCTACCCCTCAAGGTTTTAAAACGCGTCAACTAAGGAGAGGCTTCCACACCCTTATAAGGAATGCTTCGTTCCCCTCTCCAACCAATGTGAGATCTTACAATATCTACTAACGGTGAGCTTAGGCCATTACAGAATTGGTTGCATATCTAGCCCTAATCGAACTCAATGAACAGAAACTGATCTTCAAGAACAATTTAGAGGGAAAAATTCAAGGGAGATAGAGAGACAAGGCCTTACAATCCCATTCCAGCTGAAAGTGCATTATCTATGAACAGCAAAAGGCGAAAAGCAAACACAGAGGTATAATCAACCTGAAAGAAGAAAGTAAAACACATAGCCATCAGAACAAGCAATCACAAACCTATCTTAGATTCGTATTACTTCTTCGAAACTCGAACGCCTACCACGATCCATACGTGCAACGGATATCTACATGTATTGTACCGCCTCCAATTGATAGTCACAATTATTCTACCAAGCAAAAACAGTCAAAGAACAAGAACAGATATAATGAAAGCCTGATGCAGGCTCCTAACAAGGTTCTAACAAGGTTCTAACAAAGCATAAACAACAGGCAGCTTCAATCAATATGGCAAAGGATACATGCTAGTAGCAAGCATTGACAAGAAGAATCCATCGTACCTGAAAACCCCCAAAATCCTCAAGCAAATAAAAAACCCATCAAAATGGGTGAATTCATATTCCAATGGAACGATGGGAAAGAGATTTACCATTTGAAATCGATCCCTCGAATCGCCATATCCAAAAACTAAACCAAGAACACTCAAGAACACTCAAAACTGCCAAAAATGGCTAATGGGTCTCCATGAAAAGGCAAGAAACGATTAAAGAACCACAAGGGAAAGGGAAATCAAAGAAGAACTCGAACATTTGGCCAGAAATTTCATCTGGGTTCGAATCATTGATGAACAAAGAGATGAAAAAACAGAAGAATATGACGTTTCAGAGCATAATTCGAGCCACAATCTTGTTTGGCAAGTTAGTTGAATCCATTTAAACCAAACATTAAGAAGGAAAAATGACAATTACAAGTTATTTTATGAGGCAGAATCAACCTTTTCAAAGATTTGATAGTATAAAATTGAGATGAGATTACAGAGGAAGATTCTGCAATAGTTGGAGGGTGGGGTCGCCAAGAAACGCAGCAGATAGCGAGTGGCTTTCATCAATGGGCTATGCAAAAACCAAGGACAGCGACCTTACTCTAAAGCCCAACAAAAAAGCCCCTCCAAATTGTTATGTTTTTCATCCTCTGTTCTTCACTTTTAACATGCCCATTATCCAAGAGAGCGAGAATCTTCTTTTCATTTCATTTCCCAAATAAAGAAATCACAATGAAAGAAGAAGAAAACACGAGTTAAAAGACGAGAAAACAACATCTCGAATTTGTTGTCGGGCATAGGGATTTAGCTAGTTTTTTCGATGGCTCTGACTTCTATCCTTATGATGCAGCGATAACCCACTTTTTTTTTACTGCAACACTAGATAATGAAGAAACTGTAATAACCCAGAAAGAGAGTGTTGAAGCAGAACGTACTGTTTGTTTTTGGAAGATTGAAGATCACTACATAGCCTCCAATAGACTCGATTTCTTCCAACAATAATGATTATTCATCTACTTCTCTCGTTCCATGAACTTTAAGAAACCGTCTTTTTTTTTTTTTGTAATATATAGACAATACATCATCAATTTGAACTGTTGGTTGCAACTCACTTGCATGAGGTTGAAATAGCTAGTAATCGTCGGTCAGTCATACGACAATAAATTTATTCTTAGGTACGACCGGTCAAGCTATGGAAGTCTGGATAAATGAGATTTGAGATTAAGTCAACTCTCTGATCAAAAAAAGATAATATATTTTTTAATTTTCTTAGAAAAACAAAATAATATTGACTTTTTAATTTTTTAAAATAAAAGTTAAACCTATTGATACTATTTTAAAAATTTTAATATTAAGAATATTTTAAAAATAAGTATTAATAATTTCCATAAAAATTAAAATAATGTTTTCAATTTTTTATTTTTTTAATTTAAGGATATTACCGATATTTTTTTTATAAAATATAAAATTTATGAATATTTTTATTAAAAAAAACAAATTATAATTTTATTTTACTAATATGTTATTCAATATTTAATTCTATTAATCACTTAAATTCTCATCTATTCCACGTCACAAATCCAGTCAAACATAAATTAAATAAATAAATAAAAACAGAATTAGATAAAATCAAAAAGGTGGTCGGTGAATGGAAAACGCGGAGAAAAACGACGTCGGATGGCTGACGCAAAAGTCAAACTAGCAAACCGGAAGGCAACCGGGTGACTGGAACTGGTGCATGGAATCAGATCATATCATACCCCCTGACCGTCTGACCGGTTCCCGGGCAGCTAGAAAACGACTGCCCGTTCTTCCTCCTCATCTTCCTCTGCATATAAATACCAACCCCTTAAACCATATTCTTCCAACAAGCTTAACAATTTCATGGCAAAGCCCGGCATCGATGGCGGAGCTTCGATCAAACTCGATCGTAAAATCGTCGAGAAAAACCGAAGAATTCATATGAAATCGCTGTGTTCTAAGCTCTTCAATCTTGTTCCTTCCTCCCATTACAAAATTTCTAAGGTTTTTTTCATACCCAAATCTTGAACAATTGATATCAATTCATGTTCTAAGTGTAATTATTGTTTGTTCTTCACAGGATTTGCTATCCCAACAGACCCAAATCTCATACGTGATTGCTTACATAAAAGAGCTGAAAGAAAGAGTGGAGAGTTTGGAGAAAAGGAAGGAAGCTTTACAATTACAAATTCATTCTCAATTGCCAACTTCTAGTGATTCTACATTTCCTATAGTTGAGGTGAGAGAATTGTGTAGTGGGATCGTTCACGTAACGTTGATTAGCAGTGTTGATCGAAACGTCATGCTTAATGAAATCATTGGTGTCGTTGAAGAGGAAGGTGGTGAAGTTGTGAGTGCTAGCTTCTCCACGCTCGGTGATAAGGTCTTTCATTCCCTCCATATCGAAGTAAGTCGTGTTAGGAATAATGAACCTAGAGATGTCAACGAGACGGGAAACTTCCCTATCCCTATCTCTGCCTCCTATTTCATTTCTCATTTTGAGATCTCACATTAGTTGGAGAGGGGAATGAAACATTTCTTATAAGAGTGTGGAAACCTCTCCCTATTAGACACTTTTTAAAATCGTGAGATTAATGACGATACGTAACGGGTCAAAGTGGACAACATGGCTCTTACATCTATCTTCTAACTCAATTCTCATATTATCTTTGTTTTTTTTTCCAAAAGACCTCGTATCAATAAACATAGTATTTCTTACTTATATACTCACGATCTTCTTTCTTAATTAGTCAATATGATACTCTAATAAGTAACAAAAAAAACCCGTCTTACTGAAACTCGATACGAGTTACGAGCTACAGTAAACTAAGCTTAATCTGTTTAATCGTATTCTTTTTACTTTGCAGGCTAAAATTTCTAGGGTTGGAATAGAGACGTCGAGAGTAGAAAAAAGATTGAAGCATTTGATAATTGAAGCTCGAGAAGATGGACGAGATAAGTAATCAATCTTTCTCCTTCAAGTATGAAAAGTTGAGACAAAAATGGAGCTAAGAATATGAATAGTTTAACGTTGTTTCAAGACCAAGATTTGTGTAATGTTCTTCAAATCTTGTCATTTTGTCAACTCTCATAAAATATATAAAAATAATGTCTGTTTTTGTGCTTCAGATGTTTTCTCATACTGTTTTGTTTCATTAACTGAAGTGCTTAAGTGTTGTATTGAATATTGAAACTTTATGCTATTAATAATTTAATAGATAACATATCTATAATAATTAATAAATTTATTGTTTTAATAATATATTTAAACACGTCATGATACTTTAAAATTTTCACTTGAAAGAAATGGGTGGGTTATTGGACTGGTATGGATGTCTTTTCGTGTTTCAAGTAGCATTTAACGTATCAATTATGAGTGTTCATATGACTTCATAACCCGACCAACCCGAACTACTCAATCCAAACCATAAAGGTTGAGTTGGGTATACCAACTCGGATCACTATAGCAACTCAAACCCACTACAAACAGATATTGTCTGCTTTGGCTTGTTACATGTCAGCCTCACAGTTTTAAAACGCGTCTGTTAGGAAAAGGTTTTCACACTGTTATAAGGAATGTTCTGTTTCCCTCTTCAACGAACATGGGATCTCACAATCCACCCCTTAGGGGCCCAGCGTTCTCGTTGGCACACCATAACTTGTCTGGCTCTGATACCATTTGTAACCGTTCAAACCTACCGCTAATAGATATTATTAGTTACATATCGTCGTCAGCCTCATAATTTTAAAACGTGTCTATTAGGGAGAGGTTTCCACACCCTTATAAGAAATGTTTCGTTCCCCTCTCTAACTGATATGAGATCTCGCAACTACCCAACTGGGACGGGAAAGAATCTCTCCCTTTTTCCTCCCCATTCTCCATTTAAACACGAATTTCCCTCCTAAGCTCTCGAAAGTCTCGACTTTGCAAATCAAACCGACATTTCTCATATCTATCAATGATGTCAATTTCTTTAAAAAAAAAAAAAAAAAAAAACTAATAATAAATAAAGCTTCAAATTATGAGGTTATTTAGTTGCACACGTCTACATTTCATATCATTAGCATCCAATTTTGACGCTTATTTTATTTCATTTATTAAATTAAAAAAGCTACTTTCTTTATTATTATAATTTAATACTCTAATATTAAACATAAAATTCAATTTATATCTAAATATTCTTAATTTTTTTTCCAAAAATATATTAATAGGAATTTAACGGCTTCTATATATATATAGATATAGATATACATATACATATAAAGATATATATATATATATACATATAAAGATATATATATATATATATATATATATATATATATATATATTATTAAATTCTAGGTTGTTATTATTCAAATTATCTAATTTTTCAACCTATTATTCACATTTTAATCATTGTTATAAAGAATACGTGTGGAATATTTCATGTTCACACCTTTTGCATCATAATTTGGATTAAAAAAAATACAAATATATATATATATATATATATATATATATATATATATATATATATATATATATATATATATATA